CCCCAAAACCCCAAAACCCCAAAACCCCAAAACCCCAAAACCCCAGAAATCTATATTATTAAATTTAAAATTATACATGATTTCTGCAAGAATCTCTTCAGGTTTAAACTTTCTTTTCAAGAGTCATGCCATCAGCAAAGGAGGAGGCAGGAGAGTGAAGAAAGTTAGGAGGACTTACATCTCTCAGCCCTTAGCATATAGGTTTATTCAAGCCCAGTCAGTTCAAACTTACGCTATTACAGGAACTTCGGTAAGGCATTATGGTTATCCATAGATATCTTTGCTTGGAGTTTATTTGATATCAAGATGGAATTATGCCAATCCCTCAAATAGGAAGAACTTTCTGGTTTATAACAGATATTCAATTATCCATGCAAACTCTGTTTATGCTTATTATCACAGCCGAGGGCTACCAATCAGAGAAAAGATTCGTACTAGAGTATCCAGAGAGGTCTTCCGTCTCTTAATGGAACCACATATCCGAAATAGGGTCAAAGGTTTGACAATAGAAATTTTGGATCATGAAGAGACCAGAGTAGCATTTTCAAACCTCGCTTATGATGTGCTGAATGATAAAAAGCTTTGGGCTCATAGTTTGATTTCAATAGGATATTTTGCAGGCAAAGGAGTTTGGGAAAATCCCTATGATGCAGGCAAAAGCATTGCTAAAGCTTATATCCCATATGGTGGCCCAATTTTTGATGGAGGAATAATAGTTTACAAATACTCAAGTTATTATTTCAGCGACTCTAGTTCTCTCTTTAGCTACTATGACAAAATATTCCAGGAAGGAGATGTCATTAACTCTATCAAATATCTGGTGGTTGATGGAGTCTATAATAATCTCACTGATCCCAAAACATACAAAAATTTAGTAGATGTAGTAGCGAAGGTGATCAAAGGAGACTCCTTTTTAGATGCAGCATATGATACATACGTTAAAAAGCCGTATAAGAAGGTAATATCATATTTTTACTCAAAATAACACACTATAATTGTCAGAATACTTACAACCTTGACTGTCCAGTAAGGGGTTTTGGGGTTTTGGGGTTTTGGGGTTTTGGGGTTTTGGGG